AATGAATTTATTCTATTCGATTGCTATATATTTTCACTGTTTTTCATATACATGGATGTTGAGTTACATAATGAAGTAGTTTATGTGACATATGGGATTATAAAGTGATCACGAGATAACCTGGATTCATTCATATAAATCTTAGCATTTGATCTAATGATCACATGCCGTGATTTGCATTACTTTTATGATCGTTGTAACGTGGGATTGTAATCTAATGATCATAAAATTAATAATAGCAATTGGTAGTAATAAGAGTAATGACAATAATGACTCCACGTAAGTAATCTACATATCCAATTCAATCGTGCTATTTGTGAATTTCATTGTTATTGAGAATTTTTTACGGTAATTATTCACACTTACTGAGCAAAACTTCCCTCGGCGAACGGCATCGAACCCGTGACGTAACTATTATTATTGATGGTGACTAACCCGAACTAGGCTGATTTGGCCTTATCTAATTATGTGTTTATGTTCATAATTAATTATTGCTTAGCAGTTCACATAGTTAACAAACACTCAGTATCGGATTGTCCCCATTTCGAGTAATTCTAATGTCTTCATGTTCTTCTCCAATTTTCGGCCTTAACTTTACATCGCGTTTCCCATTTCTTCGCGTTTACCATTTCTCTCGTCAAGCAGACAGACATTCAAAGCCATATGCATAAAGTAATGAAAATTTTCGATATAGCAAAAATTTTTTTGTATTAATACATAAACGTTTTGTTGTATTGAATATTTAAATTTGTATTAGCATTGTCGTTGTAAAATTGACATGTTCGGTGGATGAAGTGAATGATATTCAAGTGTTCTGATCAACAAAAAAAGAAAATTAAAGCAAATGAAAAAAATCAGCAAAGTGCATCTCAACTGATCAATTGACTAGTTGTACAAAAAGCGAAATTGCGCGTTCGGTGTACCTCATCAATCACTCCAGAAAAGAACCACAAACATTAAACACCACTTCGAAATGCCATATTTAACTGTGTAAATTGTTAATGATTAAGGATAAGGTACGGAGTGAATTGAAACTATTCTCGATGGAATACACCCAGCTGCAGTTGAAGTCGATAAAAGCTTCTGATGTACTCTTGCTTGTGTCATTCCTCACTTAGGTATGCAACGATAAAATGGACTTTGATAAAAGGACCCCGCATTTTCGCATTTATCCGAACCTCACATCGCGTGGAATAGTCTCCGGTGGAGTAGTCAATCTCCGTTCCAGGCTCAGCACTCGATCTCACTGATAGCCAATGAAGCCTTCCAATCCTTGATGACTTGTAAACTCTATTAACAATCACCCAGTTACGAAAATATTTCCAGTGATATAATGAAAATATGATATTAGTGATTTTCATATTGATCTACAATCTAGATGAATATTTGTCATGTAATTGGTTATATTTGCGTCGTATTCATCTTTATTTGCTATCATTTAATTTATGCCATGGTGAATTATACGGAAGTTCCTCAAAAATTTTTTTAGATACTTGAAGAAATACATAAATCACTCATTCTTTCAATCACCCACTCATCGTTAGTATTCAGTCTCCATTCAGTTTCACTGATCTTGCTCTATCTGATTCACTATTCAAAGCTGTCAGTCACAAATTTTAAGCAAGAATTGAATCGCTCATGCGTCACCATGCAATATTGCACGACTTCGAATGCGTGATGGTACCAAACAAGAGAGTAATCGCTAGAATTGTTGACATTTCAGGTGTTTTACGATACTCGACACCGTACCAATGATCATTTTGAATGGTATAATACTGGTGATATATCGCGTTTGAATGCGAGAACGTCCATGGAGTGCGAAAACGATCCACCATTATTCGAGCGTAATTATTCAATCGCTTTGCAGCGAACACTTCAAGAATATTCATCGTCAGTTATCATCATCGTGTTGTGCTTATTTCATTTCTAGTTTGGCATAGGAAGACCAAATGAACCCCCGTTTGAGCCCCTCATCCCCATTTCCGTCGATGACAGATAGGCGCTAAGCCGGAACTGTCATCAGCGCGAGGAATGGAAGGGGGGGGGGGTGTAAAAATATCAGTTTCTATCTTCATGCTGACATTATTCTCAAAATTTCTCCTATAAAACCAAACCAATATGCGTACAATTAAGACAAACAACAGGCTCGGTGCACTTTAAGGACTACTGCTGCAATCATGAGATCAGTTTGCCGAATGCTCCCAAAGGGGACACACACAGAACACTCGAGTTTAAGAATAATTAATTGCTCCAGAGAAAAAGTTGCTCTTATCAATAGATTGAATCTTTCTCAACAGATAAATCAACTTGAATGCGCTCGTTTCACCACTAAACCGATGACAAATGTTTCAGTGCCTATAATCTAGCGCACCCGTATGTGTGCCTTGTGATTTGCCCGTTGGGTATACTCGCGAATATCGTGCATATAATGGTGCTGACACGAGCCAGAATGCGACGATGTGCTGTCAATTGCGTTCTGATCGTGATTGCAGTGTGCGATGTGATCACAATGGCATCCTATTTGATGTACATTATCCGATTCGAGATCACGGCTCGTGCAGCCAGTCATCCTGGTGTAAGGTTGCTTCCAGCTACTTGCTGTTCTCTTCATCTGCTCTGTTCCAAGCTTGAACACAAACAAAACCCATAAATAGCTCTCAATGAATAGCTCAATTTACATTTTTAACTGACGACATTCAGTACGGCTAGCGGTGATAAAATTCTATCAACAGTAAATGGTGTTGAATGATAGATACGTTCTACATGTTTCGAATCGGATTTCATGTAATTAGCGAATGTGTGCAANGATACAGTGACAAGCTTGAACACAAACAAAACCCATAAATAGCTCTCAATGAATAGCTCAATTTACATTTTTTACTGACGACATTCAATACGGCTAGCGGTGATAAAATTCTGTCAACAGTAAATGGCGTTGAATGATAGATACCCTCTACATGTTTCGAATCGGATTTCATGTAATTAGCGAATGTGTGCAAATGGGATTCAAAGTAATCTGCACTCAATCCCTCAATTAGATGCGATATTTCAATCAAAAGTTCAACAGTTTTATATTCCATTTCTTTCTTTTGTTTCCTTTCGACAGACTGAACTATTCTATCATACTGTCTGGAACATATATTCATTATTCAGTATGTTATAAAAAAGATGAGTGAATGCAAAACTGAAAAAAAATTGCAGTTACACATGGGTTGTTCTGTTGAAATTACATGCCGTTGGAAGTATTGCTTTGCACGCAACAACACTATACCTTTGCGTTACAATGGCTTACATAAGGTGGAATGCAATGGAAAAAACACAATCCAAATGGTTACATCCGAAGACATCTTGGTGAATACCGAATATCATTTAATGCAGACAGTTTCATTCAATTCATCGATTCAGTGGCCAATTAAAGAAATTTTTTTTGATGCCGAGACAGACGACATGCATAAAATTTTGGAATGATTCGTGAAATTCAATTAGACACAATTGCTCTCTTTGCTCTCTTAAGTAACTACATTAATGTTTGGGTGATATTCCAAAATCACTTCTGAAATCACCGAATTGTCCAGCAAACAAGATTCTGTTCGATTTTAATCGGCAGTTGTCGTTTATTTCAGGTATGTTGCATCAGTGATAACGATCAGCGTTTCGGTGATCTGCGTTCCCACTTATTTGGTTCATGAAATAAAAGAAGTTTGGTGAGTGATACGTGCGTGACTGATGAATACCAACTACAAAATAATCGCCATTGAAATTCACTTCAATCCCATTCCCCATACCATTGCATCTTATTTTGCTACTACATCTCAGCTCTCAGAACTAAGCTTAAAACAACATTTGATGTTATTTGAAACGATATTATCCTGTGTTGGACGTCTTATTTTTGAAGTGCTTTTGAGCACAGCACATGCACTACTTTTTTTATGTAGACGGCTATAGTGATTACGGCGACCCATTTCCGGCTGAAAAAGACTTGGAAACAGTCTGCTAAATCATGCATTCTCTCATCAATCGACGATGAACTACGGAAATTACTTTGCAGTGAACAGCAATATTCTTACATTTTTCGAATTAATATTGAATGAAAGTCAATCTTTATCGTGAATATATCGAAAGTAATTGCCAAATTTCCAGCACAATCAAGGGAACAGAAAAAAATAAAGGGAACTGAATGCTTTCAAAGGAAACGTTGAAAAAAGAACGAAAGTTTTTTTTAGAACGAACGTCTGAAAGCATCTAAAAGCAAAACGCACGTTATTGCCTCGCTCTTGCTTAAAATGTTTGTTCCATTAGTTCCAGTTATGTCAGGAAAAAACATCACATCAATTTAAGGAAATCGAATGGTCAGCTGTTCTACACGATCGATATATCGCAATGGGCAATTCGGGATAGCTGTAGATATTTTAAAGCAAACTTATGGATACTGGGAATAGCGCTAAAGGTAACCAATCAACCATTGAATACACTCATCACTGCTATTCATATTTTCATTCATATTGCAAAAAACATCAACTCAGTTACAGTAGACATGCTCAACAAAATACAAATACAATGTATTCATCCAATAAAAATAAGATATGTATGAATTTTATGAACAGATTGATATATATGAATAATGTATGAACAGTACAATTTATATGACAGATTGAATGTCTCATGGTTAACCTATAATCAGCATTATTATAATCACAATCCTAATCAGGCAATTCCGTGTTTTCTTCTGCTGTGGTTCACAACACTGTTGATGTTACGGCTGAAACGGAACAATGCTAGACGTGAAATGCTCCTCTATAATAATAATGTCCTAACATCGGCAATCGCTCGTAAAAAACGGCAGAACTACGATCGTACAACATTGACACTCATCGTTATGCTGACAGTTTTCTTGGTCAGCTTTTGATTCGTACAATTTTTTGTTGATTTCGAAGGATCACTACTATCTCGAGGATATTTTTTAATAGCAACGATCAGTCATAGAAGAGATCCATAAATTTAAGTCAGTCGGGTAAGTTATGTGATGAAAAAAGCAACAATTTGCAGTTGACTGAGTTACCGCAAGGCATATTGGCCATGCTGAACGCGATCTACACAAATGATGTGCATTCAATATTGTATATGAATCTGGCGAATGTTCTCGACGTTTTGTCACTTATCAATTGTTATGTTGGCTTTATGGCTTATTGTTTCCTATGCTCAAAGTATCGACAAACGTTTCTAATGATGATCGTGACGACGTGAGTTTTTGTTCCAATTCATTTCTATATCAAGTCCAGAGTTTGACTCGAAATTTCCGATCAAATCTTTAAAATTAACATAGATCAACGATTATCAATCCGTTAACCGCGAATTTATTTGCTCGTATGGAACCTAGCAGAAATTTTCTACTGCCTTGATTAATAACTGCAATAAATCGCAATCAAAAAATTCTTTTTTTCAAAATGATCTTCAGAAGTGAGAAGGCGAATACTTTTACAATGGTATTCGATAGATCTGGTGTTTATTCGAATCGTTATAATTATGCGGCTGTTGGCAAATAGAACTGACTTCATAAACGCCATTTTATCACGATCATAACGGTGCAGTCAGTGGAACGTCGGACATCAAGCAGATTTTCGAGGATGTGATTAAAATGTCATACACTATTAATTAGCTCTGCAGAGCTAATTGATAGTGTATGACATTTTAATGATTGATAGTGTATGACACATGTATGACATTATCATGATTACCAAATGGCTAAATAATGCCTATATGTACTTTGATCACATGACAGTGTTCGATTACCAGTTAAAACATGAATATAGACCTCAACTGAATCTGAACTCATTATTCAGTTTAGAGTCTAGAGTCTAAGCTTGAGCCTACGTCTCATCCGCCCATTGACAAACAAATCTTTAACGGTATTTGATCAGTGACAGATCAGAAAACGTGTCAAGTATTGTAACATTAACATGCTCAGTAAGCTTATTAGGATGGTAGTTGGGAAATGAAAATCCAAAAAAGAAATAAGTACATGCATGAAATGTTGAAAAAGACTTGAGCTCGACTCTTGCCCTCTTGCAGCATCGTGCAGATTGTAAGCAGTAGGGTGGTAGTTGAGACTAACACCCTAATAAGTGAGTCAGGGAAACGAGGTATCTCACTAGGTTACAACACCGTCTAATATTGTCTCATGATGGAATATTCGCATCATCTCGTTGACGTTCCCTGTCGACCAACTATTGCTTCTACTTACAGTCGGTGATGTACCAGCAGCTGTCGTCACCAAAACACATTGTACTTCTTCACTCGTTATTTTACTGGTATATGTATGGTACTGTAGCCGCGGTTTTTGTGCACTTGCAGTTGCAGTACTGTAGCAGATATTTGTTTTTGGTGCAATATGGCCACTTGAAAACGCATAAAATTGAATATTTATGTATGTATGTATGTATGTATGTACGTATAAATAATTTATTGTGTGCGCTTATGCATTCAGACAGAATCAATTGACCAGTTCCGAACATCGAGTATAAATGTGTGCATAAAGTACAAAACACGAAATGGCATCGCAATAATTCAATTGCGTTTTTCAACGTTAATTACATTTCAGCAAGCCCATCTGAGCGTTATTTGCACTGTTATCACGCATAGTTATCTCATTACCATAGTTATCTCATTGTCAGTTCGAATCCGACCATATTACAAATATCATATTCTACCGCAATATCACAAATATGATATCATATTCTCATAACCGCATTATTCACAAAAATACCGATTTTGTATTTGATCCGTATTTGTAGATAGTATCAACCAGCACATTGAATGATAATGGTCAACCAGAAACACATCCAATCAGTAATATATTCGTGAGAGATGATCCCTGATAAACCTAAACCATTTAAATTGCTGGAGGCTTTCCTCATTTATAAGACGCATGAAGATACTAGGTGAATCAAAACAGCAAAGTAGTGTTGTTGACAAAGATGGATGGCATAACGCCGAAACGTTGCAAATCATCGAAAAATTACTAATTGCGTAGGTAACAATTAGTCAACAGCACAAGTTTACTCTATTGATTCACCTAAACCACTTCATTGGATCAGCAGAATAGTTAATGAATGAATGAATTAAATATTCATTAAATATTCATGTTAAATATTCATTTATTTATGAGCAGTGTGTCGGAGTGAGTGAAAAAATAATATGGCGAAAGTAAGTAGGCAAGAGCGCTCGGCAATAATGAATACTGAGCAAAGCAATGAATCGTGAGCGTAGCGAAATTTGAAACGATCTTCAAAAGACTCATGGGTACTAAAGATACCGTGTTTTCCGGACTATAGGGTGCACTTAAAGCCTTTAATTTTCTCAAAAACGACAGTGCGCCTTATAATCCGGAGCGGAACGACTTATATATGGATTCATTTGGGTTACTGACCTCGAAGTGATCTTGTGTAGTACACGGCGTCTTACAACTGAACAAGGCTGAGAGCCATTGTTAATATGCTAATGTTTGATTTAGCGTTATCAGACTATGTTTTTTTACTTGTTACAACTGAACAAGGTTAGGAGTTACTGTGTATACCCTAATTGATGTTTGAACAATGTCGGGAGTTATTGTGAATACGCTCAATAAAGTTCAACTGATTGACTTATCTGACTGTTTTGTTTCCCTTAATGCACCTTATAGCCCGGTGTATTTTATATAAGAAAAAAGTTCGAAATCAAACCATTTATTGACAGTGCGCCCTATATTGTGAAAAATACGATACATTAAAATCAGATGAGTTAATATGAATAAGCAAATTTTTGAAAGCGAGGAAAACAAAATTGAAGTATAATGTTTTGTGGGGAAATTAAAACCTTTTATTTACTCTGGAAGCATATCTACAGCGGAAGATCTTATTTCTAGTAATTGACATATATTAACCTTCAGGATAAAAGTAATCTTGTATAAGATTAACTTTAGATATGTCATCTTTGTTCAGTCTGCCTCAAGCAACATTACGTGCGTTTATTGGGTCGGATACGTTCATATAGGATATGACATTTACAACGTGTTAATCATCTAAATCAAAAATGTGATCGAATAATTGATCAGATAGAATGAATCACATTAGACAGAATCACTCATTCGATTCCAAAATATATGATCAGTAAGGGTCTCATGTGATCATTTCACACGAATCATTCGGCCTTTGAGTTTATCTTTCCCTTCGCATCACCTCAACCTTTGAATCCGTTTTCTCCTGATGAAACTTCATTTTCATCTGTTTTGAGACATTAGAACTTTTCACTTACTCGATTTTTGATTTACTCAAGAATATTGGATAAAATATTATGTTTTGAATTTATTTGATACTTAGCTCATAAAATAGTAATAAAGATTATGATAGAAATAATAGCACAATTAACAGCAAAGGCTGATTTATTAAGTCACAGTAGTTTTTTTTCATATCATACAAATTCAAGTGGCTCATTAACTGTTCAGTCGCTGTGTGCATATGCGAGGCACCAGAGGATAAATCCCTTGAGAAGCCTCTGAATACCGTATCATTGATGAGTTTTTAGGAGACCGTTTTCGTCACAACTGCTCAACCGAATTTTATAGTTTCACACATATCTCCACATCTTCTACAGAAATTTTCTTGCTCGCCAAGAATTTGCAGAGCTCTTCTGAATTGTAGCAGAACTTTTAGAAATCGGGAACATCAAGTAAGTTGGCCACGAAAGGGATGGGCACCAGAGAGCGCGAGTCATTCCTAGCTCCGTTTCGCTCCAGAGTAATGCCCTACAAGTCGATGCCTTTCAACTCTGTACAGGTTTGATTTGTTTACATCATCACTTCATTGCTGGCTGGTCACCTCAGCAAACTCTGCCACTCTTTGCGATAAAATGTCCTGGTTTAAGATTTGAGCACGTTTCAACTATACGTCGTATACGTCGGACGTTCAAATCGCAAATTATGTGCAACGGTTATAAACTTACTTGACCTTTACCCCACTATAGGTTGTCGAATGAGTTTATCGAGCGATTTGTCAAGCAAACATCTGACATTTCAGCGATATTTACGATAACTTTAGTTCCGAATTGAGTTGAACTTGAGGTAAATGACGAAAAATTGCTCACATTTAATTTGGTGAGATGTTAGTTGGTAAAGCAGAAATAATGTGAAATTAATAAACATCATTTCAGACAGACTTTCGTGAGCCAGATGCGAAACGAACGTTTCGATTAATCACTAAAAATGACGTTCCAATATTCGTTAATCCAGCACTATTCGCCATTCATTCAGACGATTTTCGAGAAAAATGGGCGGAAGCGGTACTGTACTGGCATGCCTCTCAAGCACTTTTTCAGCCAAGAACTACACTTGAGATTAATACTTTTCGATATACTCCTTAAAAGTATCCGAAAATTACTTATTGTCAATAGTTATCAAAAAGATTACTGTCTTGTCGATACTCTTTGCCAACGAATGAAAGCATTTTGACAAAGATGGGTAGATCAACTGGACGTCAGCAGAATCAATTTATTAAAATAATCCAAAAGTTATAATCCAGTCATAATCCAAAAGTTATAACTCAAAATCCAAAAACCAAATATTTCAAAAATCCAAAATATAATGCAACAAAAAATCCAAAACGACAAAAAACGGAAATGTGTTTGGGATTGAATGCTTATAGCAGTATTTTTCACGCTGGGAATCTCTAATATCCCTTTCATTGGCCTGACAGGTCGTCATTATTCCCTCCCCCCCTCCCCGTTCCCAACTACAAGGATTTACTATTTTAACGCAAAACGTCAGGAGCAACTTGAAATCTCTCGCAGAACTTTCTGAGTGGAGTGAAAGAAATTCATTTTGAAATTTTGCACTGAAATTTTTTAAGTATTTCCAGAACTTTATTTATCACTTGCAGAAAGAATCTGAACCTCGGCAATTGATAACGAAAACCAATGCAAAAAAACACTTGTCAATGATGAAAAAACTGAAATTTACTGAAAATTTCATTTATACCTTCAATTACCCCTTTAACAACCCCAAATTACTCACCAAAAGACAATAATTCTCCTATGAGAAAACTGACTTATAAGCTCAGTTCTGGTATTGACAAGTAATATTTCAGCTGAAATCGAACCGTGAGGAAGTTGATTATAGAGAGTACAAGGTTTATGAAATGCTTACAATTGTTCAGTCTGTATGCCCAACTTTCTACAATACATACCCAATAGCACCAAACAGTACGTCTGCATTTGCATCTTACAATATTCCATTAGCTCTTACATTTCTGCAATTTCTAGATTTTTTACCCTAGAGATATTTCTTGCTTTTTTCATTAAGCTGAATGATATTTATCACGTTCACTCTATACCCTCGAGGCAATTGCAAATGTGATGAATTGTCGACCTTTTTGTATAATACTGCTTTGGTGGAGAGAATGAGGCCGTTGGCCTCGCAACATTTTATTTGCTTTTGCAGTTGAGTTATTCATCAAAAATGAAATTTGCAGTAAACAAGCAATAATTTCAGTTTATAATTAATTAAGTAATAATT